GGAGAGGGAGGTCTGGGCCTCCCTTCTGAAGCTGCTGCCCCCGCGACCCGACCCCGGATAGGCGGAAGAAAATGGATGGATGGATGGATGATCATGTGTCTTATATCCAAGCCCTAGTCTGAGAATATATCTATACATATAACAGCATTTTATTTTGTTTTTTAAAGTCTGGACATTTTTTATTTTATTTTATTTTTTTACACAGTTTTATTTATTTTCCAATTTCCTAATTTTAATATGTAATGTGTCTACTTGGTTCCATTTTAAAGAAAATAGGGGTTTATGAAATTTGCAAATCACTACATTCTGTTTTTATATACGGTTTAGACAACATCCCAGCTTTTTGTATTTGGGGTTGTAGCTTGTTGAGAAATAAACTTTCAGTCTGTTTTAAGGTTTTACACCAGAGCCTAGGCTAAAGGCTAGAGTCAGCTGTGTGTGTTGTGTTCACTGCAGGTAGGATCTGAGAGCGCTCAGGGAGCTCAGTCCAACCTGACGGAGATGATCCTCAGCCGCCTCTCCGCCTCTTCTTCCAACCTGACGGCCTTCCAACAGGCGGCGCCAAAGTCCTTCATGATCAGCGCCGACATGGCTCACGCCACACACCCGAACTACTCGTCAGTATCAACGACACGAGAACCCTGTTTATAAAACAAAATAAAGAATTCCACAAATTAATCATCTGCAGAGGGCTAGATGGACAAACACAGGCAGGTCCATCATTGTGTTGTGGATGACCCGAGGCTACCCACTGTCAGAAATCATTATCATCATCTGTTTAACTGAAGGTCTTCAGGCAAATCTTGACTGTCTTTTCTGCTGTGCATCAGTCACATCCTTTTCCTTAGAGGAATCTACTCGTTTACTTCAGCTGATCAGTGTTTCTGCTCTCCTTTATTTCATTTAAAGTCTGTCTTTGATTGATTTTATATATTTTTTCCACAGGGAGAAACACGATGAAAACCACCGCCCAGCTTTCCATAAGGTTAATGCTTTAATGTCCTCTTTCAAATCCTTCCCTCTGAGACCTGATCAGGTCTAACTGAGCTGAACATTTCCCTCTCAGGGTCCGGTCATCAAGTTCAACAGCAACCAGCGCTACGCCACCACGGCCATCACCGCTGCCGTGATCAGAGAGGTGGCCAGCCGTGTCACAGTGCCTCTGCAGGTCTGCTCTCTGGATACTTCATGTTCTGTGGCAATTTACATGTTGAGTACAGAGAAACAACACAACAGCTGAAATCTAAAAGCATCTGAACACTAGCTAACAGCTAAAAGCAGAATACCAGTAAAAAAAATGGAGCCGAACACTACCTAACAGCTAAAAGGAGCAGAATACCAGTAAAAAAAGGAGCTGAACACTAACTAACAGCTAAAAGGAGCAGAATACTAGTAAAAAAAGGAGCTGAACACTAGCTAACAGCTAAAAGCAGAATACCAGTAAAAAAAACGCAGCTGAACACTAGCTAACAGCTAAAAGGAGCAGAATACCAGTAAAAAAAGGAGGCAAACACTAGCTAACAGCTAAAAAGAGCAGAATACCAGTAAAAAAAAGCAGCTGAACACTAGCTAACAGCTAAAAGGTGCAGAATACCAGTAAAAAATGCAGCTGAACACTAGCTAACAGCTAAAAGGAGCAGTATACCAGTAAAAAAAGGAGCCGAACACTAGCTAACAGCTAAAAGGAGCAGNGAACACTAGCTAACAGCTAAAAGGAGCAGTATACCAGTAAAAAAAGGAGCCGAACACTAGCTAACAGCTAAAAGGAGCAGAATACCAGTAAAAGGCAGCTGAACACTAGCTAACAGCTAAAGAGAACAGAATAAAAGCTAAAAGGATTAGGACATTAGTTAAAAGCTACTAGGAGCAGAATGCTAGTTTCGGCTAAGAAGAACAAAACACTAGCTAAAAGTTAAGATTGCAGAACACTAGCTAATGGTTTAAAGTAGAAGAACACTAGATAAAAGCTAAAAAGAGTAGAACATTAATTAAAAGGTAAAAGGTGTACAGACCCTGAACACATCACAGAGGTACAGACCCTGAACACATCACATAGATACAGCAACCATGCACTAAAGTATCAAAAGGATTACACAAAGCAAAAAGTATCAAGAGATATACGGTAATAAAAATGAGCTAAAGACTAGTTTCTGCTCAACACCATTTTTTAAACACCAATAATTGCATTTTTTGTTTTTTACATCACAAAGTTGACATTTTGTTTTATCACCATTCATTTTATTTAATGTTGACAAAATATTAGTGTTAAAGTCTTTAAAAACCTTTCTTCTGATTATGAATCATCAGCTTTTTGTCTGTTTTCAGTATTTTTTTCCTTTACAAATAGGGATGGATGTTTTTTTAATTAAAATGTTTAGGAAAGCAGAGCAACAGTAAATTAAGTAAATGTAAAGATTCCTTAGAGAAAGCTCTTTCAGAGTAAGACTTCCTGTCCCCCCCCGCAGGATGTGATGGTCCGTAACGACAGCCCCTGTGGGACCACTATCGGACCCATCCTGGCAGCCCGTCTCGGTGTTCCCGTGGTGGACATTGGTGCTCCACAGCTTTCCATGCACTCCATCAGGGAGATGTGCTGCACCTCCAGCGTGCTGCAGAGCACCACCCTCTTCAAGGTAAATGCACCACCAAGTATTTAAACTTTTTATTTACTGTTTTCAGCTAAAACACTGTAGTCAACAGACTCAACCAACAGGGGCTCCCCAGTGAACTCCTTTAGACACCATAGACCTAAAACCACTGATAATGGTAACAACAGATCACACGTCGACCAAACGATCTAAACAAACACACAACAGGCCCTGGAGCAGTGTGGTTATCCTGACTGGGCTTTCCTGAAAGCAGACAGGAAACACAGACAGGATTCCGGTGAAAATGAAGACCCCAAACCCAGACCCAAACCAGTGGTTATTCCGTATGTTGCGGGTGTTTCGGAGAAACTGAGACGTTTATTTTCTAAACATGAT